TTACCTATTTGTGACGGGTAAAATGGAGGACATTATCTTCGGCCGTATGCTATTAACTCAGATAAAGCTTTGTCGTTTAATTAAATGTCACGTCATTCCGACGCGCTGTGGTTCGTTGTTGGATTTGTACCACTGCAGTTTGTACTAATTAACGTCTGTCGGCTCTTTTTGCAATTTCGGATGCTACTTCCACTTAATGCCGGTTATATGTTAGCCTCTCTAAACTGAATTCATTAATAATCACCTTCAAACTGAATTAATGTTTGTTTTTTATCCAAACTTTTTTTTCGTAAAAGTAAGTATCATTCTGGATTAGGAAAGGACGAAATGTCACCCATTCAGTGCTATAAACGTTTTATTTTGTTAACAAATTTTCCTTCATCTTGTTGTAGGCCCATGATTATTATTTAATATTGCTGTTGAAATTAATATTCTATCTGATTATTTCAGATTTTGAAGCGTGAATTATCACTTAATTATGCAAAGAGCAAGAGATAGATTATTATAAAATTAAGACAAAGTGTAGTAACATTATGCTATAATTTAAGAAAATGCTTTTTTTAATTTTCTTTTCTTTCTTACCTTCAGTATTTTTCCCTCTTTATTTTGTCGTCTGTCCGTTTAGTTTTCCTTCTTAATTGTGACAGAGCCTTATATTAATACTTGTGTTTTTCTCGTTTATTTCAGATTCTCAGCTAAGAGTGCGCATTGCTCCATCTGTGCCATCATGGCCAGAAAACTATTATTACTGCTCCTTGTGTGTACGAGCTTTTTGGTTCATGACGTCACCGGTAAAAGACGCAAGGACAAAGACAGGGAAAAACAGTCTCTCTCTGAAAACACTGAGAACGTCTGTGAAATACCGGATCCTAACCGGAGCATAGATTGCTTCTGTGACAAAGCTGGATATCAAAATGCATCAGACGCCACGTGTTGGTTATTTTACGAACTTCAACCGGATAGTGTCGTGTGGGGTTATTTTACGTCTCAGACCAACATTGAGAAACTCAAGATTAATATCCGACCCGATGGAATTTTGAAATATGTCCCCACGTGGGTGCTGTCCCAGTTGCGAAATCTTAAGGTGTTTGACGTTCTGTACGGTGACATTGCAGAGATATCGCCTTACGCGTTCGCAAATCTGTCTTCTCTGCAGGAAATCTCGATGACCCGGAACAAAATTATTGAGCTCAAACCCTATTCATTTGCAAAACTGCCTAAACTCACACAGGTTACTTTAGATGACAACAGAATTACTGAAATTCGTCGTGAAGTTTTCATCGGTCTGCCAGTACTGAAGAGCTTGTACATAGACCGAAATAACTTGAGATTAATTTACGATCGAGCATTCTTGCACCTGTACCGACTGGAAGAGCTTGAGCTGAATGGAAATCAGCTGTCAGTCATCACCCGTGACACCTTCATGGGATTACAGTCGCTCAAGGTTCTCAGTCTGCAAGACAACAGGATAAAGATGCTGGGAGAATACACTTTCAACGAGACGCCGTTTCTTGCAGAATTAAGCATGGATCGTAACGGTCTTCAGTACATCAATGAAAATGCTTTCCATGGATTGTCGCAACTGCATCGTTTGTCTTTGTCCGAGAATCAACTTAAGTCTCTCCCTAACAACGTCTTCAATGATACACCCAATATTCGCTTTCTGGATCTTCGTGACAATTCTCTCAGCATGCTTTCCTCCGAGACAGTGAGACCCATCATGGAGAGCTTGAAGGATGTGTCTACCTACTTCTTCGTCGAAGGTGAGTCAGTTCTTTTTATTATAACATGATATACGCACTTGACATATGACAGTAGCCTGGCGGACGCTGTGTGTTTGCAGTCTAACACAATTTTATGACCATATTACTAATTTCCTTCTCGTAATAACTTAATTTGTTTTCTGCAGGACTCATATAATACGGATTACTATAATTAATGACCTTTTATTTAGCATTTTAAAATAAAAATTAATTATAATATCCTGCTACTTTATAAAGGTTTACCGATTAAATTATACATATGTGTGTTTTTACCTGTGTATCAACCATTCTTAATTTTGTTTACCATGCAAATGCGTTTCGTGAACCAATAGTTCCTTTTATTCCGTTGATGATTCAGAAACCTCGAACAGAATAATGTGGGGCTAGTCTAAATATGACGTCATTTAAGAAACATTCTAAGTGTGCCAGATAGACCTCATTATTTTCTGAAGTCCTTTATCGTATAGCATGTTAATTGTGTAGGGATGTGCTTAATCGTGTTGCGTGTTTCATATTTGTTCGATGCACTGCAGAATCTTACATTTAATAGTTTCATTACGCAGTGTAATGTATACGGAGATAGAACCCGTTTAATGTATATGAATTTCTCGCTTGCTGTAACTAGATCAACTTGGTTGATATTGCGTTTGAATGGAGTTACAGAGTTGGGGAGCAAGATTGCTAGTTTGTCTAAACATTAAATCATGTAGCATAGAAACGCAAACATTTCATATCTAGACATTCAATTGACTCAGAGATGCACTGGGACTACGTGAAATAGCTACTCTGCTTACGTCATACAGAAAAACGATCATGTGTATATTTTCTAAGATCACGTCGTGAGGGTAGATGAGAAACGTACACAGAACATAGAAAAGCTTTGCATATATGAGCAATCACAATTAAAATCAATCTTAAGGAAATAGTTTGTGAAGATTTGGACTAAATTCAACTGACTCGTTATGGGGTCCATTGGCGGGCTCTTTTGAACACGGTAATGAACCTTAGGGTTCCATAACATGCGGCTGTTACTAAAGTTTTAAGAATTTCTCTGCTCAGTGGGCTTTGTTGCTTAATTTATTAAATGTGGATGGGGGCTGCAGGCTTGCTGTTGTTAACACAGTAATAACACTGCCAGTTCTCGTGTATCGTTTTCCATAGAGTTACTGAATACATACATTTTGTCTCGTATCAAAACATAAACAGGGCTTAACCTGTTATACAGGAAGTTCATTTTAAGAGCAGCCCAGCAAAAGTGAAGTAGTACAGTGTAATAATTAAACCAGAAGCAGGTCCACCCCCGTGTAATAGACTCCACAACATCTCCCATGATACTCGACTCAAGGTCACTCTTGGTCCTAGGCCGCTGCTTACAAAAGTTGCGCGGTTGTGAACATGAGAAAGCCATGTGTTATCGTGAAACCGTTTGTTTGTTTTCATGAATCATTAAACAGTGTGTACAATGATAAGGGAGAGGGCGTGCTGAATGAGACAACAATACACCGACTGGTAACAGAATTTCGGGGCGCAGGAAATGGTGTCCGGCGTCGGAAAACGTTAACATATGTCATAATCTGTACCTAGAAAATAAAAAATGAAAAGCAAATTGTTATATCGACTTCACCAGAATTTAAAAATGCTCTTATATTTGTAGCTGCATTTTAAATAAAACGTTCTGCATATACGCGTGCTACAGATCCAGATTTGGGCGCGAATACAACCTATTTAGTTTGAAATTATGGTTAAATAGATGAGGACAAAATGAGGATGGCCTCCATTGGTTGTGGGCATTAGGGCGGAAATAGTTCACATTCTGTTCTCTGTGTAGGTAGCTAATTCCGTGCAACGGTATATATCAGATACGGAGATGTTTCTTCAAAGCTCAAGCTGGTGTTCATTTGAATGTACTGCAGTGGTGGAAGGATGGGTCACTAAATTCTAGAAACGACCAATAGCTCGTGGGACGAATAGTTGCCTTTACAATAGACGATCTCCTGTGCTTATCCCTGTTTCCTGTGGGTGAAACAACGAGGCAGAATCTTGGCTTTCTCGGAGGGTGGGGGGAGGGGCTTCCATTCATGTCATCTTCCCTTGTTAATTACAAAACTCCACATCCTACCGCCTTTTCAAGACCCTATACACTAATAAAGTTAAGCAGTTCTATCCCGGAAACTGACCACATTTCAGTTCGAAACAAAATCAGTTATTATCATCAGTTAGAGGACAAATGCTTCATTGTACAATCTTGTGTCATTGTTTCTTAGCTTATTTAAGCATGCTTCCTCAAATTTATTGTTTGAATTCAGGTATATTTAGCTAATTGTATACGAGATACGCGAAAAATGCGTATATGTATTCTTGTAATGTGTCTTTATTGTGAAATTTTAACCGAAGGTTTATTGTGGACAATTTTTAGTAAAACTCCCTATACTATGTTTTATGAAAATCCGTTAAGCTTGCTGACTGAACGAAATGGCATACTTGGCGAAGCGAATGCGAAAATGCTTGCATCTTTTTGTTGCAATTCCATCACTTGGAAACAGCAATGAACAACTTCTGATATATCAGCTCACTTGTTTATGTGGACAGGGGATATGAAACCTCATCCAATAATACAGTGTCTTTGTGTAGGAAGGGACTATATAGAAAAATAATTTACGAGTTGAGCAATGACATTGTATTATCCATATCGTATATTTAATAAATCAATTCAAGATTGTTGTCTCGTAAACTAATTTTCTGTCTTCCTCTCGTGCATGTTCTAGTTCTCGCTGGGTTTGAAAATGTTAGTATGCGTTCCTTACGCCCTCGCGTTCCAGATGTACGGACGGACAGACGGACGGACAGATAGCCTGTGTTATGCAATGCTCGCCTTGTTCTGCTCCGTATACTATCGCAGAGTTATTTCTACAGCTGGTATTGGTTAATCTCAGGAATTTCATACGTATGCCTGCGGTTTCCTTGGTCACAGAAAGCATCAGGGTGAAGGTCGTTGGACACTAGAACAGAGAACTAAATGCTTTGAACATAATCCTCCTCGAGAAACTGATAGGAGCTCAACTTGTTAAAAAATTCCTCGCTTTTTTCTGAAACTCCCAATTTTTAATTCCTGTTTTGTGTCCTATCAGCAAGCAGCCTGATCTGAAACGCTCTCAACTCTAGAGATTTGAGATTCTCATGCGGTGATGATGTAATTGTTCTTCTGCGCTGTAAAGCCGTGTGGACTTTTAGTCAGACACGGACATTTAGGAGGAACTTACTAACTCCATATTCAGGGCTGAACACTAAAAATGGAGGTAATGTGTTCCTTGGAAACGCTGGTATCTACCTACAAACCCAGATGGCGTTACAGCCCAGAAGACCAACATGGACAGTGTCAATTTATATTCTTATAATGTAAGAGACAGTTTCACCAGCTATTAAAAGGTAACAAATATAATTTTGTTCATTTATGGTCTTAGATAGCAGACTGGAATGCACAATATTCTGAACTGAATATGTAAATATGTAAACACGATTCTGAATCTTGGTTGTACATACATACGAGAATATATTGATTACATTTCTATGGAATTGAGAACGCTAGTGGGCCAGTGGCCTTAAGATGACACGTGAATGCGGATGTACGAGCAGTGGAATGATGTCGACAAGGGATCACGATGGACTAGGAGGGGGAAAGTTTCTCAGTACCATTTTGTCCACCTCAAGTCCCACACGGGGTGCCCTGGGAGCGAACTCTGGTCCCCATGGCACTACGGACCATTCAATTAATTAGTTATACTACATTTGTGCTGTCCTTTGATGTTGCGGTCAGTTATACGTCTATGCAAAACAACAGCCACTTACGTCTAATATGAATATTGCTACTGTCGACATTAGTTTGTTGGACATAGCGAGCCACGCAAAATTAGATCACAGCGAAAGCGATATTATTATTGTTATTATTGTTATTGTACGTCCTCCTACACCACCTGGAATTGTGGTTAATTTAATGCTTTATTAGTACAAGGGTGCTCACAGAAAACTCATAACTGGGAGGTCATGTCTTTCCGTCTCTGTTCTCGTATTTCATCTCCGAAACAACTGAACGCATTACCATGAAATCTGGTGTAGGAGTATAAGCCTATTCAGATACTTCTGGTGAATTTATTTTTGTCTCGTGTAGGTCCACCGTGATTTATATGCAATTAATTTCACAGGTTATCAAAGAAGAGCTTAAATTGTTATACTATGGACATTATTAGAAGCAATAGTTTTCATTTTAAACTTTTTCATTGTTTGTTAAACATTTAATGAGAAATATTTTCTAGCTGTACTGCGCCTTTAAATTTGCAGCTGTAGGATTTGTGTTTTATTGAAATGAATATGAACGCCAGTCAGTTATTCAAAATCGTAAAGGATTTTATGAGATTTGACGTTGTCACGGTTGCGAGTATGAAGATTAATGTCTTCTGGGTTGTTGTGCCTTGTAGTCTGCTCACGGTGGAGGCAGCTAGCACGTCTGAAACGTCGGCAGGCTTTCACCAGTCTTCGCGGCGCACAACCGAGAAGACAGTCATCTCAAAGATTGATCTTGAAAATATGCGTAGGCCTACTCTTGTTTGTTCATATATTAGTCCCATTCTTGGGATCGCATTGTGACTCACGTTATGGTGATCTGTGGTGTCGTTGATGTTAGTCGTGACCTGTTTGAGGTACAGTCCCGGTATACCCTTGGTGGAAGTGACTTACGCCATCAAAACCGCAACCAGCATTGTCTACCGCCTCTGGTGGAATTAAACCTGCGAGGGTTCGTACTGGGATAACCAGTAACTGGGCTTATTTAGGCCACAGATTTGGGTCGGATTCTGTCTGAAATGTATTTTACAGAAATGTATTACAACGCAAGTTCTGTTATGAAACTTTGTCATGACACACACAGGCACGTTCATTTAAATTATGTATATTCTTCAATTAAATTCTACATGTATTTATTAAACAACAAGTTAATTGACAATGTT